AGTCACTGACGAAAGCTAGTGGATACTAGCTGAAACGTCTGACGTTTTCAAAATCATATCCAGTTGCTTGAGTAACTGTTTTTTTTTGGCATATAGTGGGGTCATGTGGGGTAACGACAGTTGTCTCAGAACCAAGAGGTCCCAGTTCAAATCCTGTCATGCCATCAATCTTGTGTCCTTGGGAAAGGCACTTAACACGATTTTCCTCACTCTGATGAAAATGAGTAAGTCTGTTCTCCGTGCATATCTCTGCATTGGTGGCAGAATAAAAATAAGTTGAACAAACTTGCGTGCCACCATTATATAAATGTTCAGGAATTATAATTTATAGAAAAAAAATAGTTTGTTTTTAAAACAAGACTGCTTTCTTGATACATTGTGAAATACAGTAAAACTTGCATAAGGACACTCCTATTTTCAATGTTAATGTCAACCAATTGTACAACATTTCATCACTCAGGTGTCAGAAAAGGTCGGTCAGCTCCAAAAATTGATTTCCTTTGCAGGGGTCCTTCTTCTTCTTCTATGAGGTGCAGCTAGTGAAGTTTTGTCTCCAGTACAGTCTGTCAGTCATTGCGGAAAGAAGTTCCGATCCTTGCAGACAAGTTTCACTTTCAGACTCAATGGGTTTCTGAAGAGTTGTGCTCGAACCAGGGGTCCACACACACACAAAAAAAGCTAAGGTCGGTTGGGTTATAGGAAACACATCTTTTTCTAGGCCTAACTAAAATACCTCATTGACTGTGCAGGTGTCCCCCTTCTCGAAGTGTGGTACGCTCTCCTCGGCTGAGATGGCCTGCCAGTGCATGACTGCCGTGTAGCCCGCGTCGATCAGCGTCTTCCCCGTCACGCTGAATGACTCTCCTGCCGCGTCAAACCTCACCGTGGTCTGCAGGTACTTACAGTCTTTTGACAGCTGGGAAAGACATTAATCACTTCTCTGGTTTATTGTCTGTTCATCCCAGTACTAGTCTCATGAGCGTCAGACACAAAATTGTTTTAGCCTGCAAAAGTTTGTTTTTTCCATAATTATGTTACATACTGTCTTTGCTCAGTTTCTTCCTCTTCTCCAAAAAGTACTGACCTAGCCAATAACCTGATTTGTTGATGTCTGTCACCATGTTGGGTTACATAATGTTGCAATTTCATAGTAGGAGGGATTTAGACTCCTGTCACCAATAATTACTGTACAGTAAAAATACTGCTAAATTTTTTTTAAGGACTTTATTTTTTCAAATTTTCCATATCCAGTACAGTCATGTACATGTATGTGGAAGGGGAAGGAGAACAGGACTGGTGAAACATCTACAATTTTATTTCAAACTTTGAAACACTTAAGTCCTCAAGTTATCAAGCAACAAAAATGATTGTACCCTACACACTTCAGAAAAGTGTATTTTAAAAGACTCACCGTAGCGATGAAGTGACTTGTGATGTACTCATACAGTCTCCAGCCCTCCCCTCCCAGCTCTGACTCTGTGGCTGACTTCATGGGTGTGATTGGAGGGTGGTCACCTGCATCAGCACCCTTCCTGTGATTGGTCAGATCATATTTGAAGGAACCAATGGTGTGAGATGTACTTATAGCCCTAAATCATTAGCAGCCTTTACAGCATTAACACCTTCTGAATACAACAGACTTCATGGGTGTGATTGGAGGGTGGTTACCTGTATCAGCACCATTCCTGTGATTGGTCAGATCATATTTGAAGGAACCAATGGTGTGAGATGTACCTATAGCCCTAAATCATTAGCAGCCTTAGTTTACAGCATTAACACCTTCAATCTGAATACAGCAGACTTCATGGGTGTGATTGGAGGGTGGTCACCTGCATCAGCACCCTTCCTGTGATTGGTCAGATCATATTTGAAGGGACCAATGGTGTGAGATGTACTTATTAGCATACACATTAGCAGCCTTTACAGCATTAACACCTTCTGAACACAGCAGACTTCATGGGTGTGATTGGAGGGTGGTCACCTGTATCAGCACCCTTCCTGTGATTGGTCAGATCATATTTGAAAATCCCCAATTGCAATTGAGAACTAATTATGAAAGTAAATCAGCAGCTGCAGCCTTTACAACATTTACACCATCGACACTTCAAAAATTTAGTTGTACATGTCTATTGCATATAAATGACAATGCCAAGACCAGCTACAAAAGTGATTGAAAACTTATTTTGATTCTATAGTAGAATGTTCCTTAAAACCACAATGCACTAACAAAGCAGGTGAAAATTTGACTACTATATACTAGCTAGTACTAGTATCTAACCTGCTGTTCCTACCTTGGTTTCTGAATGCCTTTGTCCAACAGTTCTCTGACTATTGGTCCCCAGGATGAGTTGCCTGTCTGTTGCCTCAGGGTGCCTCTGGAAAAGTTACATGATGTGTAAAATACAGGTCTTCTTTCTTTGTTCTTTTTTTCAAACAGTGGTCAGCATAGCAGCAGTACATAAAAAAATTATGGACCAATGAATTGTGCTGACCTTATATATACAATGTGAATACGAACAGAACAAGGTCATACAGATTCACAACAACTATAATATGTACAATACATAAAAACTAAGTCTGCATTTGACTGTTATAGAGTCTGATTGTGTGGTGCAGAAATGAACTCTGCAGTCTGGAGGTATTTGCCATGGGAACACATGTAAAAGTCATGTAGTCATACAGCACGTCGGCAGAACGTACTGCTCCTGCGCAGAACCCTGTATTTTCACGATTTTCGGTGGATTTTTGGTCAACGTTGCATCGGAATTTTTGCCTGTTGCAAAGGATATCTTTTCCTACATAACATTTGGAAACTACAGACGGGATCTTAACCTTATATGCGCTAGTACGACCTTATATGAGACGTTCTGTCGAAGTGCTATGTACAATACATTACGGGTTTCGCGCAGGTGCAGTGCGTTCTGCCGACGTGCTTAGTCATACTTACTTGAGATCGAAGTTCTCCGGATAGTGTGTAGTTTCCGTGCGAGGGTAGCTGATGTAGCCCTGTGTGTACAGTCTCTCAGCCACCTGCATGGTGTGTTGTGGAGCCATGCCCAGCGAGGAGCTCGCCACTCTCAGTAACTCCACCGTGTTCAGCGCTATGGGCCGCTGTTTGGCCTTCTCTTTCTTAGTCACGCTCACAACTCTAAGTAAGCACAAGTTTGGTCACTTACACTTCTAGTGTTACTACCAAGACAAAGTTCACCCTATCTGGTGGTACAAAGAACAATACTCTCCTTATATATTCTTTTGGCCACAGCAAGTAATTTTTATGGATGACATCAGCGCGCGCATTAATTTTCACCTGATTTTGGAAAAGAACATCAGAAATTTTGTTACCCTCTGACAGTGGTCAGCATGCCAAAAATGGGCAGATAACTATGTAGAGAGAAGACAAGACAAGGCTCTGATTTATTGCTTTGTCTTTTACTTTGATGCAGTAATGTACCGGTATTTTATTCCTTTTATATATACATGTATAGATTACATGATGTTCACTGAATCAAAACCATTTAATACACATGTCAATGATTGAAAACTTTTATTTTTCAGTGAGAAATGGATGTTGATGTAATAGTTGTCAGTAAACTTGGCACAATAGGTATAATTTCTTGTTTAACAAGATTTATGATGTCAATATTTGAAAATGTAGGAATCTTGCTTTTTTTGGCCCACCTTGTTTTTTCTTGCCCTATTGCATTAGATTTGGATTCTGCTGAGGATGTCATCCATAAAATTGACTTGCTGTGGCCTAAGAACAAGTTTGGGCACTAACTGGTACACAGAACAATACTTTTTTTAAGTTTATGTATTCTTGATAATAAAATTATTATACAATACAAAACAAGCAACCGCTTTTTCTTAGTAATATCAGATTTTTGCCTCACAGATATCAGTTATTATTATAAACTGACTAAAAAAATTCATTTTGGCCAACCTAAAATTGCATTGGATGCCTTTAAACAAGTAGTTTTGAATTATAGAGAAGTTTGCTATACATTTGTACAAGGATCCTTGGAAGTGAACCGTTACCTGGCTTCCTTGGCTGCCTTGACAATGTTGAGGAAAGTCTGAGCCACTTCTCTGTCAAACAGCCTCACACGCTCCCAGTCCAGCCAGATGGGAGAGTTGTTCTTACCGCTAACCTGTACATACACAGTGACTTGTAACATGTTGTATATTTAGAAAAAAATGACGCAAACAGCAAAAGAGATAATAAACTCGTGTTCCTGAACATACCAATTTTTGTCCATCAAAGATTTTGTTAAAAAACAAAAAGTTGGATGCTCACTGGCTAGGACACTGAATACACTTCTCTTAGGCCACACCAATAATATTTTTATTTAATTTGTTGTTTCTCAGATTTTTTTTTAGAAAAATATGGAGTGACAGGGCGGAAAAAAAAACAGGCCAAGGCACCCCATGATAGCCGGAAATGTTACAATTATATGAGCCATGAAGTGAACATATATATACAAGGCTGGTTTATAATTAAAACAATAGATTTTGAACTTTCAATGAAACAAAATTGTCTGTTACATTGTAAAACTTTAACAACTAGCTATATACATACTATTAGGAAGAAAAGGATTTTCTTTAACTGTTGACGCCAAAATATATCTTTCATTTTCGAGCATTTTGCAGTTGATTTAGAAAAAAAAATGGACAGGGCAAATCTGAGAAACAACAAATTAAATTGGTGTGGCCTTACTGTGACAGTAACTGTTACAGTTAGAGTAATTCGGCCAAATCAGCCCCAGACAGCAGGAAATTTTGTAACAAAGGCTATACATACACTACAAGTTGCAGTGAGTGTACTATGTATTACCTGTAGTTGAATGACCCAGTAAGTCTCAGGTTTGAAGGACTGGATCTGGTCATGTCTGTCCACACAGAACCCCAGGGTCGGGGTCTGACATGGGCCGAACGAGATCAGGCTACTGTCAAGGTCACCGTACTTCCCCTGGAACACAAGAGGTTAAGGGTCACCATGTGTCAAGGTCATCGTACTTCCCCTGGAACACAAGAGGTTAAGGGTCACCATTTGTCAAGGTCACCGTACTTCCCCTGGAACACAAGAGGTTAAGGATCACCATGCATGTGTCAAGGTCACCTTACTTCCCCTGGAACACAAGAGGTTAAGGGTCACCATGTGTCAAGGTCACCGTACTTCCCCTGGAACACAACAGGTCAAGGGTCACCATGGGTCAAGGTCACCATACTTTGCCCTGAACACAAGAGGTTAAGGGTCACCATTGGTCAAGGTCACTATACTTCACCTGGGATACTAGAGGTTAAAGGTCACCATGTGTCAAGGTCACCCTATTCAGGGTCAAGGTCACCTGTCCGGCCCTTGACCTTCACCTGACCTTCCCTTGACTTTCACCTGACCTTCCCTTGACCTTCACCTGACCTTCCCTTGACTTTTACCTGACCTTCCGTTGACCTTCACCTGACCTTCCCTTGACCTTTACCTGACCTTTAACGGACCTTCCCTTGACTTTCACCTGACCTTCACCTGAACTGACCTGGAAGAACTTGGTCTGAAACCTGGTGAAGGCACAGCCGATCCGAAGGTCAAGCTCCTGCCGGGCGTCCACCGACATGGCCTCGTTCTCATTGGGTTCTCCCAGCCTCATCATGGCGCCACGAATGTCCGTCTCCGTGATGGCGCTAAACTTGCTCCGGTAAATGTACTGCAGGGGGAAAAAGGTTTACAGATTGATTGTGATGACATAATGCTGGTCCAATATAAGGGAAACCTTTGATTGGCGATCTGCAGAAGTCTGTATTCAGCACTATGTCAATGTTAGATCATTATTTACAGAATGAAGTTATATATAGTTAAAACAATAGACAAATAGCTGAGACATTTTGGTCGTCATTTACATCTAGAGAACCTTTTTGAAATACATGAATCGCAAAAAAAAAAAGAACAGACTACCGCATGTCTCATGCCCCAAGCCTATGTGCCAAGGTTGGTCCCACTACTCTCCAAGCAGAGGTTGGTGGGATGATCGTTACCTTTCTATACATGTATATGCCCCATTTTGTGGGGGAAGTAAGGCCATGTTGATTTGATTATATGGATGACATCCTCCGGGAGCCCCAAAACTGATGCGCGCGTGCGAATAAAAAAAAAGTTTTGCAAAAAAAAAGTTATTTTCATTATGAAATCTACGTGGTCATGAGGGTTGAGCAAATGGCACAGAATATGGTTTGGCGAATAATCTAGTCTTCAAGTTCATTTCTTTACAATTTCGTCTTTTTTCGTTTGATTTTGGCATTCTACGACATTGGTATAGTTTTTATTAATTTTTTTTGTAACTTATGGTATATTTTTGCTCATTTTGCAACTGTTTTGTACGATTTACAGTATCAATGGTTGAAAACTTTTTTTTTTTGGAAATGGCCGAAAATTCATGCGCGCGCGGATGTCATCCATATAATCAAATCAACATGGCCTAAAAGAAAAAACAGAGCATATATAGAAAGATAGCGATCTTCCCTACCAACCTCTGCTTGAAAAGTAGGTCCAACAAGGTGTTGCCAAAAAGAAATTCCCTTAAGGGAATGCATTGGCAGAATTTTTTGAATAATTCCAACCCAATTGCAGCGCTATACAGAGGGCTCTGCCCCTGAGGCGTCGCCAAAAAGTCCTTTTCTATATTACAAAGTTGCTTATTATACTTACGACTTACAAGTACACAACTACAAGCACCAGTGGAGGTATTCTGAGCCCTGCCAAGGTAAGGTTTTACCTGTTCCCTGCCCCTGGGTCTGTTCATACTGGGTAAGGTTTTACCTGTTCCCTGCCCCTGGGTCTGTTCATACTGGGTCTCACGGCATCGATGACCTCAAAACAGATGTTTTCTCCCTCCTTGTCACAATCCAGCCACAGGATCAGGATGTCTGCTCCTCGAGCCTAGAATCAGCAGTAGAACATTGATATAGGAAAGGTTGTATCACTTATTTCACAGCATTCAATGCCCGTAGCCAGGATTTTGAATGGGGGGTTCTTCCCACTGCTTGAGGGGACCTCGAGCGCCGTGGGTGCAAGGCAAGTGCCAAAGGCGCAAGGTTCCTAGGGGGGTCCGGGGGCATGCTCCCCCATAAAATTTTGAAAAATGAACCTTCTGAAACGGCATTTCGTGTGTTTTTGAGAGGATTTCAAAGAAAAAATCAGAGATAAATTTCTGTTCAATGACAAAGGGAGCAGTTTTTCTACGATTCCAGATCTTTTCAAGAAAAATCTTGGACCATTACATTAAAAAATAGGACCAAAAAGTGGATCACAAAAAGGGGACCAAAAAGTGGACCTTTGAGCCTTGTGGGGGGTTCCTCTGAACCCCTGGCTACGGGCATGCATTGGTCAGGTACTGTGGCAACTTTAATTTCGCAGTTCAAGTAGTATAGGAGGTAATAACTGAAGCATCTTAATTTTGCCTATGTTTTGTATAAGAAATCAATACTACAGTTTTTGATGAAATTGATTTTTTATACTACATAATGAATAGATACACAATGAATCTTTATTGCATGTTCTTGCCCAGATGGGCAATGCACAAGAGGACAATTTGCAGTATGCAAAACATGAGTATTTCATACTAGTACTGGAACGCTTCTAATGCTAGGAATCTATACATTACAACAATACTATATACTACCTATCATCTACTGTTAGTTGCCCTTTCTTCTCTCTTTTTGAAACATTTGGAAACATAATTACATAGTTTGTCTGCTATATACAATGTATTCGTTCTTGTATGACATCAGGTGTTTAAACTTGTCCTACTTTGACACTAGTGTTTCTTACATATCTTGTCTAATTGTAAAATATCGAATTCATGTAGTTCTTGTCATTAATACTAAATAAATACATATATTAAGAATATACATGTGTAGTACTGTACATAATTCTATGGAATAACATCATCTGTACATAAAGTGTTATACATTCGTAAATATATATTTCTGTAGAGTACTAAAGATGAATTGGAAGCTTTTAGCATTTTTTTTCTAGCACTGTGAAAAAAACTTACTTCCAGCTCCAAAAACTTTGGCATCTTCAGGTTGGGGTTGGCTTCCTTCTTGTTGGTTGGAGCCCTGAAAAGGTCTGCCTGTGGACGCATAATTAGGAAATGGAAGTTCAAAGGTGAATGAATGAATGAATGAATGAATGAATGACTCAAGTTGAAGATGAGTACCATTTCTTGATGATATGTCCCTGCTATAATGAAGAAAGGAAAAAAAACTAATGATGTCATGTAAGAGTAAAATAACCCTTCATGGGACAAGTAAAGAAATTTTTAACATGCTATTATATCATGCCCCGACTCTGTATCTGTCTATCTAGGTCAATACTAGTATGTACATTTGCTATACAAAAGAGAAATTGTGTCACAACAATGTGAAATGTAATATTTCATCATGATGTGTATATGTAGTGAAGTCAGATTAGTACGCTAGTGGAAATAGTTTAACTTTAAAAGAAGTAGTATTTGATTATTTGCCATACATTGTATCCAATACAACTGTTACGCAAGAAAAGAAACAAGAACTAGAGTTGCACAACCTCATACCTTTCCCCAGATGATGTTAACACTTACGATCCTACTAGTGATCCAACTTACACAATCCAGTTTAACATAAAACTTGCACGTCAGAGGACACTTATATTTTCAATGTCAATGTTGGAAAACTGTTTGCAAAATGTCAGATTATGCAGCTAGAAAAGGTCAATCAGCTGAAAAAATGCCTGTCCCTTATTACGCTTGCAGGGGTCCATAAAAAAAAAGCTAAGGTTGGTGGTTCCTCATGGAACAGGAATCTTTTACAAATAGGCAGTTGTTGGCATTTGCTGTAGCTGTATCCAATGAGTGGCTTCCCACCATGACATGCAGTAACGCTTGCACTTTCATCCTATTTCACAAGGGGACGCTACTACACGCAGAAACCACCGGACTGCTTTTTCCACCCCCAAATAGGACTGGACTGCTTTTTCTGCCAATTGGACTGGACTCCTTTTTCCACCAACCCACAGTATTCTATACATTTGACATTTTGACATACGTAAATTTCAAAAATTTTTGGGTGTACTGGTGTACCTATAGAAAAAAAATTGGGTGCACAGCTGCTAAGGTCATGCACCCAGTATTTCGAGCCCTGAAGCTGGATTGACTTTCATGCTAGCTTGTTATGTAAATTAGAAACTAAAACAGCTGCTGATCTATTCTGTTACAGGACTTGAAATACTGGGTGCATGTGCACCTAAAAGTGCACCCAACTTTCGAGCTGTGCACCCATTCGTTTTCTGTGGTAGTCTATGGGTCAGTGCACTGGAATATTTTTGTACTGGTCTTTTTGTACATATCGAAATTTTATGCATCATAGATTGCAGGATATTCTTGGCATGTAAGTGTCAGAAAAATAATAAAATCTTTGTTGTTACGTAGTACTTTCTGAAAATTTTGAAGTTAGCTTCCATTTCAGATTCAAGCTCAGAAGAGCAGTAAGATCTGTAATTAGGTTTTGTTTTACATAGTGGACCCCAAATTATTTTTTGGGTTGGGTGCACCAGTGCACCTCTTCCCAAAATGAATTTCGAGCCCTGTTTTAAAAATTCATGGCGCAACCATGGGCTCTAGGCCAAGGAATTATTGTTGGGAGTCAATGCGCCGCGCCAGACACCGCGCGCGATACATCCGGAAACTCTGTTCCGGGAGTTTGTATCTCCCGTCACCCTTTGCGCGATCCAGTATTTCCCGTCATCCTTTGCGCTAACTTACGCCCTAGTTTAAAATTTAGCTGGGTATCTCGTCCCTCGCTTGCGGCTTCGCCGCAAGCTTGGGACTCGACGAGCGGCTCCCACTCATATGACACTCACTTCGCCGCTCTTCGGGTGCCTCCAGCACCCGCTCGTATGACGCTCGGCATTTCACTTCCGCGCCAGCTCCGCATCCCCTCGTATGGCGCTAGGCACTTCAAATCGGCGCTGACAACTCAACTAAAACTAAGCCCACCGCCTATGACGCAACCTTACCGGATCCACCCTGTCCCAGTTGTTGTAGACCCCCTGGAAGTCCAGTGACATCACATGACCACACACTGACGTCATCTTGAACTTCACCATCTCTCCATGGAACTTTCCTGGACAAAAACAACAACATTTGTACATGAGGCCACACCAATTTAATTTCTTGGTAAACGGATTTTTCTAGAAAAATAATGGAGCGGGTGGGACAAAAAAAAAAAAAACAGGCCTAGGCATCCTATTATGGCCCAAAAAGGTATAATAGGAGCCATGAAGTCAACACACCAGGCTGGTTCAAAATTTAAACAATGAATTTTGAACTTTTAATGACACCACTGCATTGAAAGATGGAATAACTGTAACAACTACTAGTAGGAAGAAATTTAAAGGACTGTTTTCAACTGTTAAGGGCAAAATATAAGAATTTTGCAGTTAATTCTGCATTTAAATACATTTTTGCAAATCAGAAAAAAATGAATCTGTCAACCAAGAAATTAGATTGGTGTGGCCTGAGTGCCTGCATGGGGGGTAGTGATTACGACTTACACAAAATTTTCCTCACCGATTATGAATTACATTTAAGTCTCAGAGCTGATTATGATGTAACGCTTTGTGGCAAATGTACTATTACGGATTACGTTGATTTTCAGGGAGGCTGCCTATGGAATTATGAAGACTAGTATTAAAAAAGGCCTGATTAAGGCTGTACGAAAAAGGACATGCAGGCCCCCTTTCATATGTCATTCTTTGAACACTGAAGGTGGTAAAGTAAACACAAGGGGAGTGTTGGGATGAGTCATCTATATTGAGTAACGTTACATGATATATTATAAGGCAGAAAAATTATGTCGTCTTTGCAACTTGCCTTTAATAAGATTTTTTTTATATGATTATGAATAAATTTGATATCGATCGATGTCAGTGACAAAATGAAACGTTCTTCTTCTTAGTGGATTGGCGGCCAACATCAACGTTCTGATGGCTTTGCCACACTTGGTTGGTTGGTGAGGTCAGAGGTCACGGTAGCATGTTGATGTTTTTCAAAGTAAGGCCACACCGATTTAATTTTATGGATGACATCCCCGCGCGCATTGATTTTCGCCCGATCTCAAAAAAAAAAAAGATCACGTATTCCGAGGCTCTGGCCTGGCTTTAGGCCTGGGTAGTGCATGGTGGTGATAACTCTGGTTGACGGCAGCCAGGCTACCGAAGCTCCAAGACTCAAGAACTCAGTACATACGTCAGCAGTGTCGATTCATATATTCCGCAAAAATCCAGCATGTGTCGGCCTATCGTATACGTCGCTATGTAATGCGCCAAATTCACAATACCACTCGGTTTGTATTCCTGTGGTTTTGTAGCATTTTTATTTTTGGCCGGATTTTTATTTTTTTCGCCAGCGCGCACTAGTTTGGGGGTCTTCAGAGGATGTCATCCATAGAATTAAATCGGTGTGGCCTAATGTGTCAGAAAATGTCAGCTACTGCAAGCTATCCAGCTTGTTCTTAAAGGAGTCTAAGGATTTGGCACACACGACTTCCGCAGGCAGGGAGTTCCACTCAGCTACAGTTCGTGGAAAGAAGGACATCTGCCTGTGTGTTGTTCTGCAAAGACGCATGTCGTAGGTCAGGGGGTGTGACCGTCTTGTCTGTCATTTGTGTTGATTGACAGTGGGCAGGTTACGGGAGTCAACAGTGATCATTCCGTGGTGCAGCTTGTAGAATGTTGTTAACCTTGCTTTTCTCCATCTCTGCTGTAGTGTTTCCCACTCAAGGTCCTCCAGCATACTCTCGACGCTTGATGTTTGACGTTACAGTCTTTGTTAGTATTAACAACACAAAGTTAGAGAGTTTCTTACCCTTCCACAGTCATATTTTGACTGCTTATATTATAAACAAGAGTTCCACGACCTCATACCTTCGCCAAATGATGTTAACCCTTGCGGTTGAAGAATTATACAATTAATTTTGATAATTGATTTTGCAAATAAGACCCTCATTTGCAAATAAGACCCTCATTTGCATGAGTTATATCAGTTGATCTTATTCTCTACCCAATGACAGCTTTATCTTAACAAGAAGGCTATTATAGCACTTCCTCATAAATTATGCAAATGAGGTCATAATTTGAATAAATTAAGTTTATTGATGTTCGCCTTCACTTAACTTCAAGTATGAAATTCCCAGCAGTTACAACTATGAAATTATGAACATTTCCCATTAATTATGCAAATTAGGTCTTCATTTACATAATCTATATCCTCAGATGTTTTTTTCATTCTCAATTACATGTCACAAGTGTTTCATAGTCCTATTATCGAACAAAGCAGATTTATAGAATTTCCTCATTAATTATGTAAATTAGCTCCTGATTTGCATAATTGTCATCTGATTATGTCAAGCATCCCTTCAGCTACCCACATACCAAAAATCACGACAATCCGTCAACCAGTTCTCGAGTTATCATCCTTCGAAAAAATTTCAACAAACGCTCCTGCAGTTCCAGAACAAGCCGCTAGGGGGCCCAAACACATGTCACTTTTTCCCCACCTCAAGAGCTATCTACCAACCAAAATTCGTGACCCTAGCATGTCCAGATCGCGAGATATCAAAACCGGAAGTTCTGCTGCAGTACCTACAAAAGCCGCCAGGGGGCCCAAAATCTAATCATTTCTAGGTCTCATCAAGACCTACCCACCTACCAAGTTTCATGACAATGCATATTAAGCTTCTTGAGTTATGCTGTTCACAAACAGACAGACAGACAGACAAACGCTACTGAAAACATAACCTTCTTGGCGAAGGTAATAACAAAATAAAATGTACCCCCAACCTGTGTATTCGTGAACCGAGCAGGCTCCATTCATTCCCTTCCTGGACTTGAGACTGCCCCCGGAGAGGATCTGGGCGATAGACTGGGCCAGGGAGGGCTTCTCCGCCACCATCAGAACAGTCCTCATGATTCCTAACCTAAATCTTCCGTTCGGAGAGGATTTTTAAAGAAAAAACTCTTCCAAACTGACTCGAAACTAAGTGTGCGCAGCCATCTTGGAAAATGGCATTGTGGGTGAAGTTGTTAGGGGTTCGTGAAATAGGGTAAATATGGGAGTTTGTCGGTTTTTCTCATTTCTGAGGGAAAATTAAGCAAAACCGTCTACTTTTCTAGATTTTACAAAATATATGTGTTTTCTTGTAAGGCCAAATGTTTGTATTTCAGAGTATTTAAAGAAAAACAGACATTTTACTTTTAACCGTATTCACAGATTGACTTTTATATTTCCCAGCAAGCACTACTGCCAACATGGCTTCCGAGGGAGCAAAATTTCCCGTGCATTCCTCGAAAGGGACGTTTGTAGCAGGAAAACGGAAAAGTTTCAAGACCAGGAGCAAGAAATGGAAAGCTGAGGCAGCAAGGAAAGATTTCATAGGGAACAAGGCCGAAGGTGAGCATGATCTAGACTCCGATAGCAATGTGCAGTTGTCACATGTGCAAGTCAGAAACTCTTTTGCTGTTCGCACATGTCTGATAATAGTGATATGCAGGGCTCAAAATTCATTTTTGGGAGTAGATGCACTGTTGCACTCAACTTAAAAAAAAGGGGGTTTTGAAAACTTTTTTGCATTGAAATGAGTGTTTCCAGGATTTTCTTGGGTGGGTATGACATAAAATCATAAAGGTAACATAATATTTGCGACTCCGAATTGCGAGGCAAATACATTAATGTTTACCTTCGCATATGGTCTATTCTTGTTAATTTTTACTCAAACACATTTCATATATATGGTCAGACAGGACTCGTAGTCTAAATATCCCCTTCTACCATGAAATTGCAACATGATGTAACCCAACACTGGTTACCATGGCAACAGACACAGCATTGGTTCAGGTCAGAGGTCACTGTTTGGAGAAGAAACTGAGTAAAAACAATATGTTTTCCTTCGGTAAACATAAATATAATCGTTCACTCTGTATTCTGCATCACCCTAAGTCCCAGCCCTCAATCGCTCAGGTTGGATCTTTGGCCTTTGGGCTGTGATCTTGAGTGATATAGAATTACAATGTATTATACATTTTGTATTCTGTACATCTCTCTTGTTCTATCTTTTTTTTTTTGCATGTGCTGTCAGGCCAGGGGTTTGCAGACAGGAGAAAGAAGAAGGTGATGTATGAATACAGGAAGCTGCTAAACAAGGAGAGGAGGAAACAGGGCGGAACAACAACAACAACAGAGGCAGCAGGAGATGGGGAGGGGGGGAACACACAGACCAGCACACAGGAACACAAAAGGTGTAGGAAGCATTTATGCACATTATAATTAGGCCATACAGACTTAATTTGAGGGATGACATCCTTTGAAAACCTCTAACTAGTGCGCGTGGGCGAATAAAAAAATTCCAGCCCAAAGAAATGATTTTTTTTAGAACAGGTGAAAATCAATGCATGTGCAGATGTCATCCATAAGATTAAATCAGTGTGGCCTAAGTAAGTTGAAAAAACTGTGTGACTTTAGAAAACTTCTGGCAACCACCATCCTACCCTTAGCCATTATTTGAAGTCCAACATACATGTAACTCCTGATAACTTCATAACCTGACTCAGAAATGGTTGTAACTTCGGAGAAATTCTGCCAACCTAATTTATGTCACCCTAATACTGGACACAGCTATTATATAATATGTTTGTATGTTCTGTAAGTAGACTTTATTCATACATGGATTTAGCTTTGTCCAGTCTTAGTGTAACAGTGGGGGGGTTTATAGGCGCTGCCAACTGACCCGGCCAATGGGTCTAGACCTTTTAGCGGAATGGTTAGAGCACCGTGACGTCATGTGGCCTGGTGGGTCGTGGGTTGAAACCCTGGCCCGGAATTACGAGTTTCTTTCTGTTTTTACTGCTTGCCTCTGTTTCTTACATTAGTTGTTAATTATGGCTCATACCAAAACTCTCTGTACTTTTGTCGAGTCATCATTCAAAATTTTCAAAATACCACATACTATTAATTATAAATATAAGGCTTTCCAAAAAAAGGGTTTGTACTAGTATGCATACATGTATCCGTAGTGATGCATACCGGTTCACTGGACTTGGATCCAGACTTGTAAGAATGTTTAGGTTCAAGTCCAAAAAAACCTAAAAGTCAAGAACCGAGTCCGGACTTATTACCATAAAAGACCATTTCACATACCCCTTTTCTTTCCAAACCACCTAAAACCTTCCGTAGATTGCAAAATCTTTGCTGCAAAATGAAGAAAACATTGCCATTGGGCATCGTCAAGTATCAGCCTCCATGTTATTTAGCCAAAGTTTCACCCAGACAACATTGCAAGGTTGCCAACATGCAATTTTGTATATTCCATGGGTTTAGGTCCGGACTTACAAGTCCGGAACTGAACCTAAACCTCTGGACTTGAATCCGGACCTGAACCTGAAATTGGGTTTAGGTATGCATCACAATGTATCCGTCATTATGTGATAGCCAAGTTGAACATTAAACAATTTTTTACATAAACAGCATGTGCTTCTATGTACAGAACTGGTGTGTTGTGCTACATGTACATGTACTAGTACTAGTAGTAGGTACATGTGAGCCATGATAAAGTTACACACTTTTTTGACTTTTATTAAAATGACACACTATTATATTGTTTCTCTTTCAAGATTCAAGAAGAAGCCAGTCACAGCGTTCAGTAAGCAACAACAAGAGTTCAAGAGAAAACAGGCAGAGAAAGAACAAAGAATAAAGGTGTGTACAGCTCGGGGCCAAGTCATCAGTTTGGAGAACACTTAGTAACTGTTTTGCAATTTACACTCAAGAACATATTTTCAGCATTTCCTTTTAGATCTTAATCAAGATATTAAAATCAATGCAAACTCCCATGAAACCATGATGTTTACAAGTCACAATTTTTTTCAGGAGAAGATGAAAATGTCACATAATTTATTAATAAAGAGCTTCATTTGCTTAGACAACTACTGATGCAACGTAACCCAATGTACAATGTAAATTTTCTTTTGAAATCCCGTTCTCTTATGACTTTCTCTCTTTGGGACACACACATGTACTAGTACTGAACCCAACCATATCCAAATTACAACCTAAGGCCTAGGAAAAAAAGTGTTTCCTGTTTCCCGACTGACACTAGAAAAAACTGCCAACCCTAGCCTTTTTTTCTTGATCCCTGCAAGGGACATAAATTTTTCGAGCTGATCGACCTTTTCTAGCTCATAATTATGGTCAGACACGTAATGAAATGCTGTACAATTAATTTTCATTGACATTCACATTAAAAAGTAATTGTCCTCATGCAAGTTTTACTTTGTTCAAGTGTAATATTTTTATATAAGTTCAATTACTAGTGATTGCCAAAGTCTAGTAAAGAAAAGATAATCCCTTCCTACCGACCATATTTTTTTCAGGACTTAAACAGAAAACATTTTTTTTTTCTAGACCTAACCTAAGGGCCATGCAGAAACACGAACACATACATACACAAACATGCACACACAGACACACACACAGACACACACACAGACACACACACATACACATACACACACACCACAGACACACTCACACACACAGACACACACACACACACACACACACACACACACACACACACATACACACACACACACACCAAAAATAATATCTCCATTTTTCATGATCTGAATGCTTGAACACATCACAAATTTTGAACATTCAAATTCAGACTTAAAAGCATACTTTTAACCCTTGTCCTGCTGGCATTTTTACACAATATTTTCAGATAATTGATGTCTTAATCAGGTCACAGACCCTTGACTTAGTATACCCCACAGTGGCGTAGTTAGTTCCACATTCACTACATTTCGCTGCAGTGTGATTCAACTTGCACAAGAAATTGTAGATATACAGGGTGCCATGCAGGGAGCATATATATATGTGCAACCCATATATATATGTATGGGCTCTGCATGACAAGGGTTTTGAGTATGATTTTTTTGAGTATGTTTAAATATTGATAATGTAATGTGTGACTTTTTACACAAATTTCAGTACTTTTCTGTCTATAACTAGATTGTTTATAACTAAATTGTTGTAACATGTACTTTCAGGAAGCTGAACAGAGAAGAGAAGAGAGAATCAAAGCAGCAGCTAAACACAACAAAGAGAGGTGGAAGAGACATGTCCAACTGGGGAAGGTCAACAAGAAGGGACAGCCTGTCATGGCCAACAGGATAGAATTTCTACTCAATAAAATACAGAAGGAAGCTTCTTCATAGGTTGTATGTCACAACCTAGGGCTGCGTACCTTTTCGTAACATCAGATACAGGTACAGGTACAGAGGTTTAGGTCCAGGTCCAGACCTGTACCTGTACCTGAAAATTCACGCGTGTCACATGTTCAACTGAAATTCTTCAATAATGATAGAAACATGAATAAAGTGTTGACAATTTGTCCTGTATCTTTCAAAGAACATCAAATATAACCATGGATGATACAACTAGGTTTCCTATCTCACTTCTCACTAGTTCTCAGAGACGGAAATTAAGGTAAATCTCTTTATTTTAACGCTGGATGTTCATTTTCCTGGCAGGCCTCCTTGTGTGTAGTGATCAAGTATGAATTTTTGTTCCGGTCCACCGACGTTTCGGTTTTTTCAGGCCGGACCGATACTACAACCTGTCATGGCCAACCGAATATATACATGTAGTAGAAGCAAAACTTGAATCAAAACGTCCAGGTGTAAAGAACTTTTATTTTCATCAACATGTAAGGGTCAAGTTTCTCAACATAAACTGAATGTATTAAAGGAATTGATTGAGGATCACCATTATGTATCATTAGTTGTCTGTGGTAAGGTACAAAATATTAAAAGAAAACTTATGTTATATGATAATTACATATTTAACAACTAGAACTACATGTATGCACCATGGTGGTATAATTTTTTTTATCTCCATGTATGCACACAGAAAAATCTTATCAATTTTGAAAGGTTGCACTAAAAAACACGACAAATATCAGGAATTCAAGAAAGTTCTTGCCACCCAACCATCGAACGTAATACTAGTACTTAGCGTAAAACAAATTCACAATATTTCCATTCAGTCTACATGAACATCTACAGTTTGGAATTTGTTTCTTCCTCTGATTCAGAGATCTCTTCTATTTCGGGACTGTCAGTTGGATGTCTGGGGCTTGTCTCTTTTCTAGGAGACAGGTCCAGCCCAACTTTTCTGAACTCCAATTTTTCCTCTGCTGTGAAGCCCATCGCCGGCACCTGTGGAGACTCCAGACTTCGTGGCGTGGACGTGACGTCATCTTCGGCAACTCTTTCCGGTAACTCCAGTTTTCGTGGCGTCACCAAGACGTCACTTCCGGTTGGTCCTTCAGCTTTTCGCGGGGTTGACGTCACGTTTTCCGTGGCACCTTGTGTGGCGTCGGCAGGGTTTGTGACGTCATCCGGATCCTCCACGCTGTCCTGGGGACGATGCACCACGCGGTAGACACGGATCCGGAATTTCTCCGGTTGGAGTTTTACCTTATAAAGTATGAAAAACAAGATATAAAAATCGTAAGTTCAGCTGCAGTTCCACAGCCAGGTGGCCCTTAATCTAATCATTTCAAGGTCTGATCAAGGTTTACCCATTTACAGAATATCGAGACAATGCATCTAAAAGTAGAAAGGCCGACATTTGCTTTGGAGCAAATTCAGCATGACTTCACATTTCACGACATGGCATGGAAAGAAGGAGAAATAGAAAGGAAAACAATTCTTAACATTGATATTACTACAGTATGAAGACGTGACAGCAGTTGGATAGCTGTCCCTTACATAATTGGTAGGGATTTTTAATTTAATAATGCAAACTGTTGATTTTCAAGATAAAAGAAGCGTTTATGCCCCACATTCCAATGCTGGAGCAGGGAAGCTTGACATACCTACCAAAACACTTAAATAAAGTTCATACTGTCAATATGGCATGGCTTTGTACAGGCGTTAATTGAGTTAACCCGATCAGATCCGAACAGCCAATCAGCAAGGAGAATAGAGGAAAAGCTGCATGCCTATCGGTTGCCTGCTCTACGTGCCATTCTGATGACTCATGCCCAAATATGGTAACACACTGCTAACATTTTCTATAACACTGCCAAAAAGCTCAAATAAAACCATTCTAAAAGCCAGTATCACAAAAATGAAAAAAAAAAGCCTGGGGGCATTTGCCCACTCTACCTTCATGCCAAATCTCATCTTACTTGTCCAAAAATGAAGGAGTTTGAATTTGTAGAAATGGCAGGAGGAGGAGGAGAAGAAAACGTGATCAAAAACTAGAAAGGCCAATATTTGCTTTGGAGCAAATACAGCGATGGGTTCACCACATTTTACCACATGGCAGGGAAAGAATGAGAAACACAAGGGAAAACAATGATTTACATTGATATAACTATAATATGAAGTAACATACAACTAAAACAACAGTTGGATAGCTATTCCCTACTTTATTGGTTAGGATTTTTAATTGCATAATACAAACTGTTGATTTTCAAAATAAAATAAAAAACGTTCATGCCCCGCATTCCAATGCTGGAGCAGAAAAGCTTGAAATACCTACCAAAACACTTGAATAAAGACATACTGTCAGTATGGAAATGCTCTGTGCAGGTGTTAATCAAGTTAAATCCCTACAGCCAATCAGCAAGAAATGCTCTGTGCAGGTGGAAATGCTCTGTGCGGGTGTTAATCAAGTTAAATCCCAACAGCCAATCAGCAAGAAGTATAGAGGAAAGCTGCATGCCTATTGGTTGATGCCCTGCATTCCATTGTGATGACTCATGCCCAGACGTGGTAAACACGCACACTAACACAGTAATACATTTGCTATAACACAGCCAAAAAACTCAAATAAAACCATTCTAAAAAGCCTGTATCACAAAAATTTAAAAAACGCCTAGGGGTATTTGCCCACTGTACCTCCATACCAAATTTCAGGACCTTAGGCCCTAAAATGAAGAAGCTGAATCCATTTAAAGATATGGCAGGAGGAGAAGGAGGAGAAGGAGGAGGAGGAGAAGAAACATCAGAAAAAGCAATATGGGTTCACCACCACTTCGTGGTGTGGTGAACCCATAACTAGTGGTGAAGTCATAAAAACAAACAAACAACACTTGTCTAGTCCTTACCACTCCAGGCAGGTCCATGGAGAACTTGGCCACGCCCGCTGCCACTGTCTCCCTCTCCGCAACTTTCAACCAATCAGCGTTCTCCGCCACCGTGACCTTTACCCTCTCCAGGTAGTCATCGCTGGAAGTCTGCGCGGGAACTTTCCGCCGTACGTCGTCTTGTTTCGGCACCACTTTCGGCACTTTCTCCCGGTCTATCATGAGTACTGGAGGCTGGAATCCCTTCGGGAAGGTGCCGTACACGACCAGGTAGCCTCTCTCGGCGTTTCCCTCCGCCATGAGGGAGCTGAGACGACCCAAGTCTTTCTTGAGAGTTTGCCGGTCCCAGACCGGAACCTTGCGGACCTCAACCACTGCGGCAAGCTCTCTTCTGTTCATGTGCCGTACCGTAATGTCTAAGCTCTCTTCACTGTTCTCGAAGACCCTGTTGTGTAGTCTAACCCAATACTTCACGGAGAGCCGGCTCCGTAAAGCCTGGTACAGCTCCCACTGGAAAAACTCCTTACTGCTCGTCAGGTTCTCCAGGAAGATGCAGATGTGTTTGTCCCGCACGGCGGTAGGGAGATTTGACATCTTCATCACCTTCATAAAAATTACAAACCAAACTTCACAATCTTCAGAAACAGACTAAACAAAACCATAGAAATAGAACATAACGAACAATGGCAACACTTTACTTGATATTTACTTAGATAACTCTTGCTAAAACGTCTTTTCCTTCTTATGTATTATTATGAACGATTGTATGTTAACTATTTTTATGTATTGTATGTGAATAATAATAAAGTTTGAAAAAAAATTAATTTTTTTTTCTTTAAATCTTCATCACCTTCTGCTTGACCCTGAGGTGCAGGGCGATGCAGGCGTCCTCCATGATGAGGTCCATGCGGTCTGGGGTGTTTCTCTCGCCCGGTTTCTGCCGAATTGTGCCGAGTTTGGTGTTGGAAGCGCCCATGTTGTCGATCTGAAAGTTAGTGACAAGTAATCACTATAACAGATATGAAAAAGAAAGGTAACATTTGCAAGGCATATGCATAGTGTTTACCTTCGCATATAGTCTGCTCTGTTAATTCTTACTCAAACACATTCGTATATATATGGTCAGACAGGAGTATAAATCCCTCCTGCTATAAAATTGCAACATGATGTAATCCAATACTAGTTACCAACAGACACAACATTAGTTCAGGTCAGAGGTCACTGGAGAAGAAGAAGAGGAAGAAGAAACTAAGCAATAACAAAATATGAATGGCAAAAAGTCGATGTTGAAATCTAGCATGTCTATGTGGGATTTTCTTTTATAGCGGGTATTTTGTAAACAAATGATGTTGTCGTTCCTTTTGTTCGACCTGTTTCAATGTTTGGGTATTTAGGTTTTAGTTTGCATCCTGGTTAGGCCACAACAAGTAAATTTTGGATGACATTCTCTGCAGACTCCAAATCTAATGCGAGCGGGCGAAAAAAACAAGGCGGGTCGAAAAAAAAAATTGACTGAATCATTGTACAAATGGTTTTGATTCAGTAGGAACATCACATATACACAGCCAGCATCACATATCACTGCATTAAAGTAAGAAACAAAACATTAAATCAGAGCCTTTTCTTGTCTCCTCTTTTCAAAGTTATCTGCCATTCACCTTCCGGCATGGTAACAGACATCTTTGCCCATTTTCGGCATATTGATCACTGTCAGAAGGCAACAATTTTTTTTTTCAAAATCTGGCGAAAATGAATGCGCGCCCATAAAAATTACTTTCTGTGGCCTTACGTTGACTTACGTAACCGTCTGACCCTTTACCCTTTGTATGATTAAATTATTTTGATATCTTTTCAAAACATTGGCCGGTATTTTTCACAGAAGAATGACACAGTGACCCGTATTACCTGTACTGTTTTACAGAATTGTTTCCTAAAAGTATCCTAGAGCCAAACGTATGTAGTTAAAATCACACATTCAGAACCTTCCCCTGAACTAAGGTTGGCTGGAGTTCGGGAGCAGTCTGACCAGATTTAGGTCACGCCTACCGTTCGATGCGAATCGAATGGAATTTGAGTTAAACACTGCTGATCTATTCGCAACCTGTACCCAACCATGGCCTAACTTCCTTTACACACCTACCCTGGGTGCCAAACTAGTATCGGGTCTTTAGCCGTTTTCCTTCGGCAGCCAAGAGCCCTTCCCCCGCCTATCTAAATTACCCCTACGGGGGAGTTGGGCCGGTTTTGTCCTATTACTATGGCTTCGGGCCGGACAAAACCCCGTAGCGGTAATTTAGATAGGCGGGGGAAGGGCTCTTGGCTGCCGAAGGAAAACGGCTAACGGCCCGATACTAGCTTGGCACCCAGGATAGTACACACCATTTGAAACATTAGGCTGGTGCGACAGAACTAGTGGCCAACCTTGCCGAACACCAGCCAACCACAGCCGACCTTGCTTCCAACCTACTCCCAACCATGGTTGGGCATAGCCTCCGTAGCATACCAGCACGTCTGCGCCTGCGCAGAACCCTGGATTTTCGTTTTTTTAGTTGGATTTTTGGTCAACGTTGCATCAGAATTTTCACTGTTGCAGAGGATATCTTTTCTGACATAACATTTGGAAACTACTGTCGAAATGCTAACATTATATGAGCGAATATAACCTTATTTGAGACATTCTGCTGAAGTGCATGCTATGCACAATACATTACGGGTTTCGCGCAGGTGCAGTACGTTCTGCCGACATGCTTGTTTGGGGGGTCTTCATGGTCTTTGGGATCTTTCATGTGCTATTTTCAAGAAATGGTCAATATGTAAATGTAACGCAGCCCGCCTCGCTCCTCAAGTTATAGCAAACTGCTATATATCTAAATTGGGCGTTACGGGTAAACCTGTTCCTCGTAGCCTCCAAAGTATGCCCAAAACTGGCGGTTCGGGGGGTCTTCATGGTCTTTGGGATCTTTCATGTGCTATTTTCTGATTGCATACAGACAACATAGCCGGCCTGGTTGAATTACCCCCGTTTTTTAGAACTGGGCTAATCAGAAAACAGCCGAAGACCACCAAACCCCCAGTTCTATAAGCCTGCTACAGGGCCTAGGTTGGAGAGAGTTCGCAAGAGTTCTGGAGACCATATTTGGACACGTGGGCATGCTTCTAGATAAAGCACGGTTCTGAGTACACCAACATACGAACGCCTTCTGTGAGAATACAGTACCACAATAGGGTCGTAACTGAATACTCCTCTGTTTGCGAACTTCTTTCCAACTAACAAAGAAAACCCATCCGTACAAAAGGTCGCAGTTATAACGTTAGCCTTACCTCAGAATTGATCACTGCGTATTGATTTTGAATTGTTATGCTGTATGTGTAGTTACGTTTAGGCCACAGCAAATAAATTTTTTGGATGACATCCTCTGCAGACTCCAAATCTAATGCGAGCGGGCCGAAAAAAACAAGGTTTCAACATTTTAAAATTATTGTACAAATGGTTTTTATTCAGCGGGAACATCACATATACACAGCCAGCATCACATATCACTGCATTAAAGTAAGAAACAGAATATTAAATCAGAGCCTTTTCTTGTCTCCTCTCTGCATACTAGTTATCTGCCATCCACCTTCCTGCATGGTAACAGATATCTTTGCCCATTTTCGGCATGTTGACCACTGTCAGAAGGCAACAACATTTCTTTTTTTTTTTCAAAATCAGGCAAAAATTAATGCGCGCGCTGATGTCATCCACGAAAATTACTTGCTGTGGCCTTCCAGTGGTCACAGCGTTCTGCTGTAATTAGATTCAGTGGTTGAAAACTACCTTAACGTCAACAGGACGCACAAAGGCCGAATCGCGGTTCGATGCGGTCGACTTGTCACGTAACGTCTGATGTTTCTCTTTCGTCCATGAAAGCAAAACCCACCCAATAGAAAAATCAAATCGACGTAAAGCCGTAGCCTCAAAGCATGCAAAAACTGGGAGTTTTAGGGGTCTTCATGGTCTTTGGAAGCTTTTATGTGCTATTTTCTGATTCCATATAGACAACATATCCGGCCTGGTTGAATTACGCCGTTTTTTTTTTTAGAACTGGGCTAATCAGAAAACAGCGAAGACCACCAAACCCCCAGTTCTATAAGCCTGCTATGGAGGCTAGTAAAACCGTTTTGGTGCACGTGCTTCATATCATACTTAAAGCTGCATTATGTAACATTAGGACGACACAAAAAAGTACATTTTCTGGTCATTTCTTCGAAGTAAGTTGAATTCGACCCTACTACAATGTATATTGCAAATAAGTGCCATTCAAGAGTGGAGGTGCCAAAATATGACGCCTTACGAGTGTGTTGAAAAGCTGGAAACAGCTTTTAGCCATGTTTGTTTACATTCTGGTAGTTTGTGGTGGCACTACAAAAAGGTTGTATCTCGTGCGTGCTGTTTTAGCGCTATATTATAGCCAAAAATGCGAGGCAATGGCACAAAAATGTTAAAATTGGAAGTAAACAATCACACGAATATTTCCGTTCAATAAAAAATATCTAAATTGTTTACTTGGTGCAAAAATGTTACATAAGTATCTAGTAACAGGTAATGTTTAAAGTATAGCCTGGTGCATATGATCGTCGTTGCTTGTTTTGTCCACAAAAAGAAATGGTCAATATGTAAACGTACGCAGCCCGCCTCTCTCCTTAGCCTTCTTAGCAGACTTATAGAACTGGGGGTTTGGTGGTCTTCGGCTGTTTTCTGATTAGCCCACTCACTCACTCACTCAGGACCGCATGCTCCGGGGAGCGTAGCGCCTTTCCAAGTTGACTTACAGCCAGTTCTGTCCTGCGCCCTCAGCCAGGCTGTAGCTGTATCAAGGCCCACTGTGCTGAGGTCTGCATTCAGCTGGTCTCCCCACCTGCGTCTGGGTCTGCCTCTGGGTCTGGACCAGCCTGCAGGCGTGGCTGCCCTCAGTAGACTGGCAGCTTCCAGGGGTGGCTCGGCTCTGGCTAAGTGACCAAAGAGTCGCAGGCGGGCCTGTCTGATCTTGTGGGAGACGGGCGGCTGACCAGTTTTTTGGCGTACCGTGGAGTTGGAGACGAAGTCATACCAGCGGTAGCCAAGGATCCTGCGCAGGCATTTTTGGTCGAAAGTGTCCAGGTGGCGCTCCTCTGTGGCTGTGAGGGTCCAAGCCTCTGCCCCATAGAGTAGGACAGAGAGCACTAAGCTGTTGTACAGCCTGAGCTTAGTGGCAGTGGATATCTGGCCATTGGACCAGATGTGGTTCAGACTGGCCATTGCTGCAGACGAGCGGCCGATACGGATCTTGATGTCGGCGGTGCTTCTACAGTCGGAGGAGATGGTGCTTCCTAAGTAGGTGAACTTGTCCACCACTTCTACGCTGTTGGACTCGATCGTGAGGTTGGCAGGTGGAGGTTGGTAGTCACTCAGACTCTGGACCTTCGTTTTCTGCCAGCTGATCTGTAGTCCGAGAGGTCTGGTTTCTGAGTCCATGATGTGGAGTGCGAGGTGAAGGGCCTGCATGATCTCTGCAAGAATGGCCACATCATCGGCGTAGTCAAGGTCCGTTATGGTGACGTTCCCGAAGCTTGCGCCACACGCACTCTGAGAGATGGTCCTTCCCATGACAAAGTCTATGGCAGTGTTGAAGATGATGGGGGCCAGGACACAGCCTTGTCTCACACCGCTGTTGATGTTGAAGCTGGCGGAGGTCTGTCCATTTACCCTCACGCTAGATGTTGTGGTAGAGTACAGGAGGGAGAGGAGGTTCATGAGCTTAGTGGGAGCTCCCAAGATCTTAAGGATTTTCCACAAAGCTGGGCGATCCACGGAGTCAAAGGCCTGTTTCAGGTCAACATATGCAGCAAAGAGTGGCTTCCTGTACTCCCTTCTCAGCTCTGCGAGTATCCTAAGAGTAAGGATCCTATCCACCGTGGAGCGGCCTGGGGTGAAGCCGCTCTGCTCTCTGCGTTGTTTGCTGAGGA